TTATCTACTCCATGACAATGTCATGAATGCAATGCTGATGCCCAAAGACAAGCCAAAGATATCCACAAGACCTAACATGGCCCTGAATCCAGAGTTGCCTGTACCAGCTCCTGTCACATCAAAGGTTAAGCTTGCTGAACCTAAGGCATTTTCTGCAGTGCATTTGTACTGACCATAATCAGCTGCAGTAGTGTTACTAATTTCCAGCTGGCCAGAGCTTAGACCATTGAGCGACGTCAGACGGATGTGGTCAGTTGCTACTATGACTTCAGGATCCCGGAACCAGTTCACCTGATGTGGATATACAATTGATTCCTGTCATCATTAACGGAAAAAGCAAATAATGTATTTGTGATAGAACCTGGAGGCTCAGGTGCCTTGAGGGGTTCACACCCCCGCCCTCTACCTCCCTCCCCACATTTTTCAAGGGAGGAGGGGCTCAGCCACCCAACCTATTTCTGAAAACTATTGGGGACTAAGTGCAAGGGGACTAAATGGTTTCCTCTACCCATGTTTAGACATGTTCTTTTTAATAATTTCTTTATACATTTAATATTATTTCAAATAAGTTACTATAGTTTTTTTCAGATGGCACATAAAAAACAATAGTTATTATTATTAATATTTACTAAAACAAGGCTCAATGCTCCTTAGCCCTCCCCCACCTTATAGAAAAAATTATAAGAGAGTTCCACCCCATGCCCACCCCCCTCCCCCACCCCATGTGTTTAAATCCCTAATGAGGAGACATTTGTATTAAAATGCGAGCCTGTCTAAAATGAATACCAGTATATGTTTTGGGAAACCAAAACCAAGGCAGTCAATACAATACTGACCACATAACAACTGAGCGCTGATTAAATACATTTTTTTTTTAATGTGAGGCCCAGTGTACCTTTAGTTGGAGATGGCTGGGAGTTAAAACATCCTTGTGTCCCAAAGAAGTACTGATCTGCAATACAAGACTCTTAACCTCTTTTAGCCATTCCTAATCAAGCCTAGACTACATTCACATAATGTATCACATTCTCCCATGCAATCCAGTAGAAGGTTGGGGTTTCAACCTACAGTAGAAAACTGGACGGACAACAAATGAGTTAAAGGGGAAATCCGATTCCAATTGCCACCTACTGAGTTGTGTGCATGGATTGGCACTGTGAGCTGTGGACTTCAGGTTGAATACTTCTTGTTTGTGCTGTAAACTACATATTCAGAAAAGAGTGAATGGCTAGTTGCTACACAGCTGGCAGTGTGCCTTATGCAGTAATGTGTGTACTCCTGATTAGTCACAACGTCAGCTTCTATCAACCAAGAACGTTTCTGTAGGAGCAAGTTTTGTGTTTTTTGTGAAGATGGTACCACGACTGATAACCTGAACGTCTACTCTGGCTGGTGAAAACAATTTATAAGTTCAAATCAAATTCTTCCTGAGTGGGTTTTTTGACCGCATTTATGAATGGTAAGAGGGGGGGGGGTGTAAAAACTCATTGCCCCCCCCCCCCCAACTAGCACGTGTCACAAAAGGGGATCAACTGTGGGGGTTTCCCTCAAAATTGGAGTGCATCTGCTTGAGAGGCGAGAAACCAAGAGTCTGGAAACAAGTAAGTCAAACCTGCATAATGCCTGTGCCTCAAGTTCTGGAACAGGACTAATGTCCAGAAGTGGACAAACAACAAGAACATTCTGCCAGAGTTTACAGCCGATGAATGCCAAGAAGAAGAAATGAAATTTAATTCTAAACATTTCTTCCTGTGCAACAGCCAAATCTTTTAACATCCATGGACTGACTTAGATAGTTGCATTGTTGAGCAGTGGCTTCTAGAGAGAATTAATACTAAATTAAAAGAATGTATGAAAACTCACTGTAGGCGGGGGGTATCCTCCTGCTGGGCATTTCAGTAAAATGGAGGAGTTTGTCACTTGCTGGTTTAGTTCAGGGTTATTCCAGTTGGCAATGTAAGGTTTACCTGGCAAATGAAAGCATGATTGTTTTCGTGTTAATTTCTTCAATGACTTATATTATTTTACATTTTATGGCAACGGAGACACTGTGAATTAAGTTCAACCCAACCAGGACCGTACAGCGAGCGATAAACACCCGGTCACACAAAGTGGCATTCATTCGGATAAGAATCACTAGGGTACAAGTCTCAGAAACCCCATTCAACTGTTAGGTTATATTAGGCCCCCATACAACATCCAGAATGGGACTTTATAATAACGAAAAGCTGTGACCCATATTGGGATGGCTATTTAATTCAACGGAGTCATGTCTGATGCTTTCAAGATCATAATAATGCTTGCTTGTTGTACCCCACCAGGACATCACCAAAGCGATAAACACCTGGTGACACCAAGTGCCACTATGCGGATGAGGATCACCCGTGGAGAGGTGACAGAAACCCCTTTCAGTCGTTATGGCCACAAATGTGACCCAGCTATATTCAGGGGCCCGGCAAAAGCCAGGGTGGGGCTTCAAATAACGAAAAAATGCTTCCCACAAGGGGACGACTTACTATAAAAATCATACTAAAATGTGGTTTTTGGTACATAGTTTTGCAATTTTTACCTTTCTATAGTTTTTTTTTTTAATACGCAACTAATCTCTGATTTTTTTTCGACTTTTTCTAAGAAAACTAGGCTTAAATTAGTTAACTGGTCACTGTTCCACATAAAATGCCTTTCACTATCCTTTGCGAAAAATGAAAAGAGCAGCAAAAACCAGCAATCTAAATGCATTAAATACATAAGGTACCTGCCAGAGCTTCAACACAACAGTCTAAGGAAATGTCTAACATTACATGTGCATATGAGTAGAATATTACTTCAAAGTTACTTTATGGCTGTGATTCTATTTACAAAAATATTTTATTACCTACCTTGGAGTACAACTTTTTCTTGAAAGACCTGGACAAGTTCTTTATTATCTGTCAAAATCTCCAGGCGACAAGTGTAGGCTCCGCTGTCTGTCAGCTCTGAAATATTGTTGTACAGGAGTCAGTTAAACATATTACCAAACATTACCTTAGTAAATATGACTGTCAGTAACTGCTTATTTACATATCTGTGTGCAACACAGATCGTGACCTAAACAAAAGATACATTTTTTTACTCAGGAAAGTAAAAGAGTTGACTGGGTTGACTAGGTTGGTTTTCTGATTAAAAAAAAAAAAGATGTTTATTTGGCACTTCTTGGAAAATATCCGACCAGCGACTGAAGTCTCTCACTGTCAGACTAAAAGGAAAAGGAACATGACAATTGGTCAAGTGTATGCACCAACATTTGCAACAGGGGAGGACGAAATTCAAAAGGTTTTAGCAGTTTAAAAGAGACGTTAGAAAGGGTAAGGAAAAAAAAAAGACATTATAATAATCATGGGGGATTTCAGTGCAAACACTGGTGCAGACAGAATAGAGGAACAGGAAATAGTCAGAGGCCATTCGGCATAGGAGACAGAAGAGAGAGAGAGAGAGAGGAGAGACAAATCAGATACTGAATTTAAAAAAAAACATATGTCTGTTAACAACACACTATTTACTTGCAAACAATACACAAGAAGGCTCTACGTCTGGACTATGCCAGATAGAAATAGCAGGAACAAAACTGATTATATTTTAATTACATTGAAAATGGAGGACATGTACAACATCAGCAAGGACACTCCCTGGAGCTGACTGTGACACTGATAGTATACTTCTCGTTCCAGATTTTAAATTTAAAATGTAAAACAAATGTTTAAAGGGGTAAAGCCAATACGTTTTGATTTAAGTAATTCACGAAGTGATTGAAACATTTAAAGTTATTTTTTTAAAAAAAGAGGGGGGGGGGGAGGGTGGGCACTCGTTGCGGTACCGGAGGATGGGCACTCGTTGCGGTACCGGAGGATATCACACCTGATGAGTTAGCCACTGAAGCAAGAAAGATTATCATCTCAACAGCTCAAAACATGATCCCTAAATAAAGACACAAGAAGAAGATTTATATTGCAGAAAAAAACATTCAAGCTGACAGACGAAAGAAGCAGTTTAAAACAAGCAGGGACGGAAACAGATAGCCATGGATATATGAACTACTCGAGAGAAATCAGAAGAGCTATGAAAGAAGACAGTTTATAATAAACACATGTAATAGAATAGAAAAAATCCAGATGCAAGGATATGACATAGATATGTTTAAATATATTAAAACATTAAAAAGCGAATTCAGGCCATCATTTCACGTAATTAATGATAAAAGCAGTAACATATTAACAAAAACCAAAGACATGGAAAGAATAATGTCGAGAATCATAAGACAAACCGACAAGTAATTCAGAATCAACTTATAAAATTGACAATTAAGAACCACTTGAGGTACTACCAGCAATACACAGTCTGAAGAAAGAAAAATCGCCAGTTTGTGACGAAATACCAGATGAACTAATTCAGGCAGGAGAAGAAGACAGTGTCTAACCCACAATGCACTGTGCACGAAGATTCGGAACAGTGTTATTTGACCTAAAGCGTGGAAAAAGAACAATCTATATTCCCCCCCCCCCCTTCCCCCGCCCGACAAAAAAAAAAAAATTTGAAACTATGCTCCAGCTATCGAACCATTGCATCAGTAAGTCATGCTAGCAAAATCCTTTTACGAATTATCATGAAAAGGATTGAAAGGAAATTACGATTAGTTATGTGAAGCACAAGCGGGTTTCAAACAGTGTGAATTAACCAGGGACCACATTTTCAAAATGAGAAATATCTTTGAAAAATGTAGAGTATACAACGTAGATCCCCATGCTTGTTTCAAGGCCTTTGATTGAGTCGAACATCATAAATTGTAGACTAAGATGGGAAGAATGCAGTTTCCATCGCATTTGGTGTATTTTATTGAAAGTTTATTTAATGAACAACAAGCAGACATCAGAGCAGCTGGTAAAATGTAGGACTGATTAGAGGTGCAAAAGAGAGAGAGGCAGGGGTGCATTTTATCACCATACCTATTCAATATTTATGCAGCAAACAATGAGAAATAGGAAAGATGACCAGACTTGTGACAGTTACGATCTGCTCAAAACTGGTGGCAGTCCTATTCGGGAACTTCGCTATGCAGATGACACAGTCCTCCTTTTAAACAATATAAAGTAAATAGGACATTTAATCATGTCTGTAAAAACACACACACACACACACACACACACACACAGTGAAGATTAATACCTGTTCTTAAATTTAAAGAAACCAAAAATAATGTCCACGTACAAATCTTACTGTCACCCAAACATAACAATAAATGATGAAAAAATTGCAAATTTCACCACATTTTGAATATCTAGGCTCCCTAATAAATAGCAATGGAGACTGCCCGACAGAAGTCAAAAGGAGGATGTCCACAGCCATACATATTAAACAGCATTACAATTTTATAATTAAGCACTAGCAAGGAAATCAAAGTTAAAATTTTAAGAGCATGCATCTTCCCTGTAGCAACACATGGATGTGAGGCACGGACTATCTCTCAGTCCTTAAGAGAGAAAATATGGACTTTTGAGCTGAAATGCCATAGAAAGATTCGCATAATGCCATGGACAAAGAAGATAATAAGCATCAAGGAAGATTGGTTAATAAACAGCACCTTGTCTAGGAAGCGGAAATATTTTGGTAATATCAAGCGCCAGGGCGAACTGGAAAGAAAAATAAAAGCAGAAGGCATGGTATCAGGAAGGAGGGACAGGGGCCAACCAGCACGAAGATAGGCGCAGTATATAATTGACTCCTTGAATATGAAAGTGCACGGGGCGGTAGAGTTGGCCATAGACCGAGTTTCTTTCGGGTAGACCGTGATGAGAGCGACGTGGTTATCTGGTCTTCGTTTCTGAAAAAAAAAAGCTTTTTCTTAAATTTTGTAGAACATTTATCACCTTGTTATCGCTTCATCTTGTCAACATCTTCCATTGCACTTCATATTCACTTTCTAATTTTTTTTTTTTTTTTTTAATATCCAGAAACCACGAGTTGTTAATCCTTTGGCTGGGTACTATGGTAATAAGTCAAGGACACATTTTACACTCAAACATATTGTACTAAACTATTCGGCTTTCACCTAGTGACGTAGTCAACATTAGGTCGACCGCCTTTATTTTCCCAGGATATTCCATACCGCATAATAACTCAGGACTTTCGCGGCGGCCGGGTGAGGAACTCCTTGTGGTCCGGGTTCACTCCCGGGGGTAGGCAGAAAAGCCACATTTCTCCCAGATTAACGGTACCTATAATGGAATCAATGCCGAAGGGTTGCGATATCCATAGTACCGAGCCAAAGGGTTTACAACTCAGGTTTCTGGATACGTTAAAAAGAAAAAAAAAACATACACCAGCGAACTACCCGTATTCTCATTATCTGTCTTCTTCTGGCATCCTGTTCTTTCTTTTTTCTTTCTTTCTTTCTTTCTTTCTTTCTTTCTTTCTTTCTTTCTTTCTTTCTTTCTTTCTTTCTTTCTTTCTTTCTTTCTTTCTTTCTTTCTTTCTTTCTTTCTTTCTTTCTTTCTGTCTTTCTTTCTTTCTTTCTGTCTTTCTGTCTTTCTTTCTTTCTTTCTTTCTTTCTTTCTTTCTTTCTTTCTTTCTTTCTTTCTTTCTTTCTTTCTTTCTTTCTTTCTTTCTTTCTCTTCGATCGCTTCTTCTTCTTCTACGACTACTACTGATGCTGCTGCTGCTACAACTACTATTTGTCATGCTACTGAGTCTTTACAAAATGACAAAAATAACAGCGATCCGACTGTAAACACGCAGACGGCACACGGGTGAAGATGTAATCTTAGTCTACAATTTAACAGCATTGCTTGTGCTTCTTTATTGCGGATGTGAACTGGCGTCTCCGATAAGAAACACCGCTTACTATATATAAGGATTATTGCTGGTAGTGATCGGTGTACTTTCGGGTGGTCCAATATTCGTTCAGGTAATCAGCTACTAATCAGCTACTAGATACAAAAATCCATTTCTAATTTGTACATTTGATCAGTCATAAGACTAATGATTATCCTATAGACCTATATATTCCTAGATGCTCATAATAAATCTAAATACAGCGTAATTGACGCTGGCAGCTCAGGTCATCATCGGTGACCGGGTCACCCATTGGCTTGCCGGTAGACGACTTCGTTGCCGATCAGCATTTGGGCCTGTCTCCTTTGATTGCACCAACACTGCAGGAGTCTTTTTCATGACTTTTGGTGGCATGCAATGGCAAATCCTTTTATGTGGGGCACATAGCCTAGTCACAATTATAACCTAAAGCTCCCCCTTCAAGGATGCTGGCTGAACGTGACGATTTATTTATTTATTTATTTATTTTTTGCTTAAAAACTGATGATGATGACGCGGCTTCTTACAGTTTTCGTTCATATCTTTGATATAGCTGCTAAATTTACCATGCTAAGTTGAAGTAAGTACTTCACGGTGGAAGCGTCCACAGCAGGAGTAGGCTGACCATCAGTAGTGGTCTTCCTTCTACAATTGTTTTGGCGCCTTTGTTGACCCTTAAATATTCACCGGAGGTTGGCCGAGTCCTGTCATAATTCCTGGGCCTCTCCTGCTGTGCTAGTGTAAACAAAGCGAAACCTGGTTATTGCAGCTGACATTTATTTAATGAGGGACGCCGCTAGTGCGCGCAAGCAAGCTAGCCAGCACTAAAATGCGCCAGGACGGTCAGGAGTGAGTTACCCATACCTGCCAGCTTCCTCAGTCAGTAAGAGCAGCGAAGACAAGACTACCTAATACCCCTGTATCATAGACTAGCGCGTGTGAAAGGTCATCAAGCATGAATGAAAGGCCAAACAGTGTTTTTTATGAAAACGTTACTAGTACCCAAAAACATCTGTAAAAGTCGAAATATTTTCCCCATCATCACACCTTTTACGGGCTATCTAACCTCAAATGCAAAATACGTATAAAAGCGCATAATTGCTTACCTTAAACTCAGTATGCTTCAAAATGTGTGTGGGGCAAAGAAACTCGGAATATACAATATGCTTAATTTTTTTTCACCCTAAACAGTTTAGCGGTATAAACGGGGAATTAATAAAGTGTTAAATTACTAGGTAATTATGAGGTTAAAACAATAAGGAGAGAGCAGTGAGCTGTTTATATGGTAATTTCGTGAATATAATTTGGACTTTTACGAAACTTCTTCGTGTTAATATCCTAGGTATGCCTTTTCTACATTTCCTTTACAAAAACATTGGATTTTTTTTTAACGTGCAGATAACTTTAAATACGCCTTTACTGTATAACTGATACTGAAATAAAGAAGAAAATGTAAAGAAGCATACTTCATTCAATCTTGAACCAAATATGCGTAATTCAGTCTTACACCAACAACGACACAAAAAGATGCAATCAAACTCTAAAACAAACGTTTGCCACGTGAACTTGCAATAAACATTTATGCTTTTCAGCTCTGCAGTTCGCATACGTCTTTCAACGTGCATCAAACATGCATGCGTCGACCCTGCAAATAATTAATGTCTTTTAACGCTACAACAAAGCCTACAAACAACCTATTTTTTTTCCTTTAAGGAGGAAATAAATCTCCGTCTTTAAATCCTCTAATAAATGTAACCTTGGATCTCATAGCAGTCATACAGAGACAGGACCCCCCCCCCCCCCCCTCCACCCCGCATTTTCTTTCTCCTCTAGGGAACCCGATTTATTTCAATCCCTCTCAAAAACATAAAATAAACTTATTTCTTTCAACTCACAATAGACGACGACTTTCAACAAAACTTAAAAGATAACAAACCGAACGAAAAGTATATTAGCAAGCTTCACAATATAACAAACACAATCAGAAGCTTCACAATATAACAAACATAATCAGAACGCGAACGTTGCTGCTATGCAGCCCTAATCAACACACACATAAATAAAACAATACCAAACAAATACACAAAATTACTTAGTGTTAGACCATAAAGATGAGTGTGACAGGCACACACAGATAGTATCAGTTCTGGGCGGGCGGAATACAGGAGGTAGGTGAAATTAATGAACTGCTGTGACGCTATAACATTATTAGGAAAAGATATCAAACCGAACGAAAAGTATATTAGCAGGCTTCACAATATAACACAAATAAAAGGTGAACGTTTTGGCTATAGAGCCTTCATCAGCAATTAATTAAATCAAACAATACCACTCAAATACACAAAAAGTACTTAGTGTTAGACAATAAAGATGAGTGTCACATGTACAAACAGATGGTATCACACAAAGACTGAAGCAAGCGTACAACGTTGTCTGTTGCATATATTATACTTACTGGCATTACGAAATACAACAGTGTTGTTGCCAATCTCCACTCTGCCTTTCAGGTCTGGTATTTCCTCCAGTGGTGTGCCCTCCTTGTACCAGCTGATGCTATTACGTATATAAGGCAGCTCTAGTTTACATGTTAATGTAGTATCAGAGCCCTCCGTTATGTTAGCATCCCTGACAACCACTGCAAAGCAAACACAAAAGTAAACTAGAAAAAAAATGTCGAACACGTTTAATGAATGTGTGCAGTAAATTTATAAATGTGCCTAGTCAATTTGATAAATGTACGTAGTAAATTTATAAATGTTCCTAGTAAATTTAATAAATTCGCGGCTCTGTGGCTTAGACATTAGTGAAATAGTTTCCTCAACGCTGACCAGGGTTCAATTCCCCCTGTGGACGGTTTAGGAAAAGGATCGAGTACATGGCTTATGGCAGTGTCTGAAGGGACTGGAGCATTGTCATGCAGTTGTGAGTCGAGCATGGAAGGACTGTAGTCTCCACTTATACTTTACATTGAAAGAGAAACTATTTTTTTTTTTACTACGTATTATCACTGTTCACTGTTTATTGCAAATATGCCAATTTATATATTTCTTGAACTTAGAGAAAACGAATACTCGCTGCATGCTTACGCACTCTCCCCCCCCCACCCCCCCCCCCAAAAAAAAAAAAAAAACCTAGAAATATTGAAAACTACCAGTTGCAAGTACTGCGATGCCAGCTGTGCACGCATATCTCAACAGTGAAGTGTGAGGAGGAAATTATCACGTGATACCCTCTGAATGTTATCCTCACTTGCTTACACAGGCAAACTAATTACGCCTTTTCCCTGTTACTACTTTATGTTCCCATAGCTAGCGATGTTTACATTACAGCCAACGTCTATTATGAAGATGGTCCAATTTTTTTTTTTTTTTTTTTAGTAAATTTACTCATTGAAAATACAATAGTGAAATAGTTATTAGTGTTGCTAATCACACATGTAACTATTAAAAAGAAACAAAGTAGATCCTAATATATATCCTAATATATTGATCATGTGTGGCGTTAATTGTCTGCCTGCTTGCTAAGTCAGATGACTGGTTTAAACCTTAGCAAAAGCAGACATTTTGTGTCGATTAGTTCTGCGTTATGTTTAATAAGACACATTTAAAATGAAAAAAAAAAAAACAGATAATATTATTTTCAGAAATGTCTAGAAAAAAAAAAAATTGGTGTGCATGTAAGCCGACTGCACCACCTAAATAGTTAGTGGCTAAAAATATTCGAAAAGAAAACACTTAACATCTCTTAGCAGACCCACAACCGACTATACTTATAACATTTTTGGACTTTTCTCTCAGTTTTTAGAACTCCTAATAAATGGATGACCGTTAACTTTTAATGTACGTTTGAATCAAGTGGAGATGGAGCAGTCATTTCTGCATCCACGGAGGAAGGGAGGGAAAGAGAAAGAAAATTGAGAGAGAACGGCTGAATATTGAGTTTAAGTATTATAATTATATTCTTTTTAATCCACTTTTGGGGTATCAAAATATCAACAACAACAAAAGAAAACACACACACACACACACACACACTCACACACACACACACACACACACACACACACACGCACGCACGCACACACACACACACACACACACACAGCACTATGTTTGTACCAACATTGTGCTTTCGATGCCAGATATGGACAAAACACAAATACAAAACCACAGGATATGAAATTAGATATATTAGAAAGCAGTGGGAAAAACGAGAAGAGACCAATGAAGAACTAAGAACAATAGTAGGCACATTGCCGGTAATGATTTGATAGAATATCAAAGAATCGAATGATTTGGCTATTGGTCAGAATGGAACAAAATCAGCAAGCACCTAGAGCGTAGTCGGTGAGAATAGCAGGCTACAATAATTTATTCATATATTTGGATATTGCTTGAGTTTGAAAGTCGTGGTAACGCAGTGACCAGTTTAACGGAAACGGGAAGCTGCATTCGCTTCATGGTCGACCCAGCCTGATATGCTACAAGGAAATTTCTTGGGAATTAATGGGAGTGGGGTGGGCTTGATTTCGGTCAGATCATCCATCATATGCAGATGGATCTGTAGCTACAATATTCATCATCATCAAGTAGCAGCTCCTTTGCAGAACGTCGCTCTCATCACAGTCTGCCTGGGGAAAAAAAACTCGGTCCACCGCCTCATATACTTTCATACTCAATGAGTCACTTATATTCTGAGCCCATCTTCGTTTCTCCTTCTTGGTACCATGCCTTCTGCTATATTTTTTTCCAAACCGCCGTGGCGCTTGATATGACCAAAATATTTCAGCTTCCGAGACAGGATGCGGTTAATTAGCCAATCTTCCATGATTTTTAGATCTTTCAATCTGTCAGTATTTCTCCTCTTCTTTGTCCAAGATATTCTGAGAATCTTTCTATTACACTTCACTATTCTCATTCTTAATTACTGAGAGATAGTCGCATCCGTATGTAGCCACAGGAAAGATGCATGATGTCAAAATTCTAATTTGTATCTCCTTGCTGGTGCTTAACCATAGACTTTTAAGGCTATTCAATCTTTGCATTGTATGGCCATCCTCCTTTTAATTTCTATCAGGCAGTCTCCGTTGTTGTTTATTATAGAGCCTAGATGTTCAAAGTGTGTGACATTTTCAATTTCTTCGTCATTTATTGTTATTTTTGGGTGACAGCCAGTTTTATCTGTGGACATTATTTTCATTTTCTTTAAATTCAAGAACAGATTTTGATCTTCACTGTGCTTTAGGGCAGACAATATTAAATTTTCTGTTCCCTTTACGCTGTTTGAAAGAAGGACTGTGTCGTCTGCGTAGTGAAGTTCCGGAATAGGTTTGCCACCAATTTTGAGCAGATCATAACTGTCACAAGTCTGGTCATTTTTGACATTTCTCATCATATTTTCTGCGTATATATTGAATAGGTATGATGAGAGAATGCACCCCTGCCTTAGTCCCTTTTGCATCTCGAACCAGTCCGATGTTTCACCAGCTGCTCTGATGGCTGCTTGTTGTTCATGATAAAGATTTTCAATTAAATGCGCTGGAAACCCTATACTTCTCATAATAGTCCACAGTTTGTGACGTTGGACACAATCAAATGCCTTACTTTAATTTATAAAACATGCATGAAGATCTACTTTGTATTCTCTGCCTCTTTCAAAAATTATTCTCATATTAAAGATGTGATCCCTAGTTCCTCTACCCTCTCCAAACCCCGCGTGTGCTTCCTGTAGCTCATATTGTAATTCCCTTTAAATCCTCTTCATGATAATTCTTAAAAGGATTTTGCTAGCATGACATTAATGCGATGGTACGGTAGTTGGAGCATAGTTTCAGATTTCCTTGCTTTGGGAGAGGGATAATAGATTGTTCTATTCTACGCTTTAGGCCAAATGCCACTGTTCAAGATCTTCTAGCACAGTGCATGGTAGATTCGGACGCTGGACTTCCGGTTAAAATGGACGCTAGACAGCGGCGCCGTTCGGAACAGAGGCAAATTTTTTTGCTTCTGCCAGACGGTGGCCGATGCATTTTTGCTCCGTTTGTAGACTGGATATAGTTTCGTCGCCCAGCATCTGAGTTGAATGCATGGCGTGACCCTGTGAGCTGCGGATTGCATTTGGAATGTTTTTTTCGACTGTGACCAACGTGGTGTGAATTGTAGATTCAGAAAATGGCGCGATGCCTGTCGTTCAATGCTGACGGGACCCGTATTAAAATTGATCACGCGGACAACTGCTGATCTGTTGACGACAAGTTCTGCTATCATCAATGATGAACTGCATTTCTAATGTTGGACTGTTTGTGTTAGCACTTCGGATGGCTACCATATGCTTTAATGCGAGTGTATGCTAGATATGCTGAGACAGCAGTCTGTCAATCTTTCCACAAGGGACTGTGATAGACATTCTGAGCGTTTGCTATGAAGCTGAAACTAAGACTACCAGACTACCAGATTCGGACGCTGGCCTCTCCTCCTGCTTTAATTAGTTTTGCTGGTATTTTGTCGCAACCTGATGACTTTCCTTTCTTCAGGCTGTCTATTGCTGATCAGCCTCATCCAGTAAAGGCTCTGGTTCCTTTCATAACTTTCACAAGTGGTTTTTGAACTACTTGTCACATCCTCATACATTTATCTACAGTATTCTTTCCATCTTTCTAATAAGTCTTTGGTTTTTGTTAATGTGTTACCGTTTTTATCACTTATAACATGAAAAGAAGGCCTGCATTCGCCTTTCAATAGCTACAATATTACATACAAAATATACCCGAATTTAGTCACCCACGTAAAGTTTGGTAACAGTTTGCTATCACCAAAGACCAATACGTTGCTAATACGCCATCGAACCCTCCACTACAGGGTTCTACCGTTGCTCTCTATTGATTTATGTTTGTTCCGTCTTTCTCGGCTCTGAATTCCCGTCTGAAGAAGTTCTTGTCCCTTTTCTTTTTGATCGCTCGTTGTGTTACGTATTCTTGTTTTCCACTCCCTGCCAACAGCCCCTCCAGATAATAAGACCCATCGAAAGCAATTTATTTAAATTTATTTTTACTAATCCTTTCGTTGTTTGGAATTAACGTATAACTTTTATGGAACCATTATGTAGCCATTAGGATAAAGAATCCAAGAGCCCGCACGATAATATGGACGAGAGTTTGCAATTTTTTTTCCAGTGTTTCTTCGTTTCTTCTACTTCTTCTTCTTCTTCTTCTTCTTCTTCTTCTTCTTCATATTATTATTATTATTATTATTATTATTATTATTATTATTATTATTATTATTATTATTATTATTATTATTATTATTATTCTTTCTTCTTCGACTTCTCCTCCTGCTCCTCCTCCATTTCTTCGGCTTCCTCTTTTTTGTTATTTTGGTAACTCTTTTCCAGCCCCTCTCACTATCACTTGCCAAATTATATAGCTCCTTCTTTTTACGATCACATTTTATATGACAGGTGGATTTTCGATTTGGACCAGACCCTTTGGTTTAATTCTCTTCCACTTGCATTTGTGTGTGGTAGAGGTTTGTGTCGATTTACTGAGCCAAAGTACCTTCTGTATTCGTTGTACTAACGACAGTTCCACAAAGTATGTTCTTAACTGTTTGTGCATAGAACAGTCGCATAGAACTTTTT